GAAAAGAAGAAGATTTCTTTGAAATTTTACCTTGCTGCAAAAAATACGAGTATATGTATAATTTGATGTCTTTTCTTGATCGTAATTCGTTACCAAGACCTGGAAGTAGTTTACGTACCAAAACTGGTAACAGTGAAAATATTGTACATGCAAAAAAAAGTGTTACTGTTAGTTTACTTTTCACTATTTTTGCCTTGCATTCAAAAAATTATTTAGGGCTAGATAGTATACAATTCGGACTAGAACTTGGAATAGGAAGGTAAACAGCTTGTTGTAAATGTGTATAAAAAGTTTCATATAGTAAAACAGTTCATACAAAATTTCATACAATATATTTCATGCGAATAGTTACTTTACATAATGTGCATATTTTTTACATTACTTTTTATGGTTCAGATCAAACATTGTTGTCTTACATTATTTTGTATAACGTATTAGTAAGTTTACATATTAATTGTACATCTTTTATTTTGTTTTCATAGAGACGTGAACATACTAGCAATAATAAATTGTATTATTAACAACATATATTCCGACGACGACCTGTCGATGGTATGATGTATGATCTTACTTATTTTTTGTAGATAAATATGTAAAACCAAATTTTTTTATATTATATACATGTATATATACGTATGTATTTATACGGGTAAAAATGTGTCTGGTATGGATTTTATATTCGTAATTTTTGTAATATAAAAAACAAATAACTAATATATAATAAGTGAATGTTGTTACACAATATAAGTAAATCACACTAAGTGACAATAGCACATGATTTTTTCAGATTACTAGAGAAGTATTCTTAAATAAACTGTCGGATATACATTACATGGTAAATGTATTTATAAATTATATAGCGTATTATTTAATTTAAATCATTAAAATCAAAGTACTATATATAAAATATTATTATATTTAATATTTTTTTGGAAGTGTGCGTTTCATTTTCTGTTTTTTTTTCAGATATAGCCTATTGTATATGTGTAAACTAGTAGTTTTTTTTATCATTTTTATTAGAAATATAATTTTGTGTAGATCTTAATCAAAATTATGCACAAGTACATATAATTTTATACTAACTACATTTTGTAATCTTTTTTAGGATCCACGTGTTCTCGATGTCATTAAAAAAAAAGTTGAAAATCGTCGTAGTTTCTTAAATGAAATGCAAACTATAATTCGTTCTAGACCCCAGTATGTTTTTAATTACAAACACATGAGGAAATAAATTTTCTTTTAATGATGTGTCGTTTTTGCATGTAAGCAAATGATTTTTGTTAAAAGAATTTACTATGTAGTTGTATTGACTTTTTTATGTATTTTCTGTTTAAAGAAGTTTTAATTTATGATACCAAAACTTGCTGATTATAATTAAAATGAAAACGACATATACTTTTCGGAGTTTAATATATACTAAATTTGTTGATTCTATTCCGTAATTCGTTTCTTTATTACAATGTAATACTTATATACACGCGAGTCGATACTTATATGTATATTTATGTATAGCATACATAAATATATGAATATATATATCACACGCTAAATAAACTTATAGTATTTACCTGTATAAATGTATAACATTAATAGAAGACTTTATATTATGTAATATTGTTTAGTATTTTATGAGTATTTATGTTAGTTAATCATTTGTAGTTATAAAATGTTACGTGATAAGTTAAAGTCTATTATGTTTGTTCACCAAAAGATAGTTATTTAAATTAGGTTTAATAAAAATACTACTTGCATTTCAAGGTTTTTATTATTCTAACTTTTCCTTAATTTTTTGCGCTATGCTATTAATTGGAATAATAAGTTTACGTGTGAACACATTTATTTAAATGTATTTGCATTTCCCATTGCGTTTGCGTACTGCCGATTTTCTTCATATAAGTATCAAGTAGATGCAAAGATGTGATTATGTTACTTTTTCCTTATGTATGCAAAGTTTAGCAGAAAATGGCCAGAAATCGACTCTGTTAGTGTACATTCTACGATTTTTTTTTACGCATAAGCAAACGACAAAAGTATTTACCAACGGAAGACTCCTTATGTTTAACGTACAAATAAACACTACCAACGTAAAAAGATAACTAAGTTAAATTTACTTTTTAATCAATGTAGAACCTTTTTTGATGTAGCTTTGCCGTTGTTGTTCTTTGCACGAAGCTTTTTTCTTCGTTTAAACTGTTCACTTTGCTTCACTTTTAAAATCATTTCGGCCAGATTTGTCTGAAATATTTTAAATATTGAAATATTGCATAATCTTACTGGTATAATGTTTACAAAGCGAAATTTTTAAGTTGTTTATTTTTATAAATGGTATATGTATTTTAATATATACCTCATACATAACTACTCAATCTAACAAAGAAGGGCGGAGTAATGGCTGTATTTTACTTTAAGATTCTGATAGTAAGACAGTTCTGAACGAAATACTGTAGCGTAATACTTTCTGAGTATTAAGTTGAGTTTAAGTGACAACAACACAGTTTAATCGATGATGTAAAAAAACAGAAATAATAAAGATACTAAGAAGAAAAACCAGAAGAAAGTAACACGAAAATAAACTTTGCCTAAATAAAACGATTACAACAAAATACATATGTACTTCAGATATGATCTCGCGTCATACGTTACGACTAGTTAATCAAGTGATAACTGTGTGTGTGTGTGTGTTATGTGTGCGGATAGTTTTGTTATCTAGTTTCAATGGAAAGGTAAGTTTTTCGAGAACTGCCGTCCAAAGTTACAGTTTCTATAAAAAACGATACGTTTCCAAAAACGACAGGTGTGTTGCACAATCACAAGAGTCCAATATATTGACTTTAAAGTTTTTATGTACAAAGGGGTATGTCGAATCAGACTTTGTTTGAAATTGCTGTATTGTAATCGTAGTCAAATTCCATTTACAGCAGTCTATCGATGGCTCACGCGACTTCTTATCAACGGTTTTGTCAACAGGTGATCGCACTTTGCTGTTCGCAAATATTATTTCGCTTATTCAAAACAGTCACACGATTTTTAAATTCACGCGACTTATTGCTCGCAAGTATGGGAAATTCGCTCGATGATCGAACGAGTCTTCGATAGCACGCGGATATTTATTGCGTTTCGATAGTTTTTGTATTTTAAACAAGTAATGTAGCATCATTCGCTCTGATACCACCTTATACTGTGTGTTCTTCTAAGTGATATTCCTATAGCTTTTTGAGAGAATGAAATCGTAGAGCAAGTGCTCTTCGAAAAGCACGATCAAATTTTTGCCATATTTTTAATAATTTTTGGACAAACCTTTAGACACTCTCAGAGTGACTTTTCTTTCAGCCGTCACAAAATTTAGTAAGGAAAAAATAAAAGTTTTTTGCAATACAGTTTTGTTGGAAACAACACAAGTCTTTGCATTTTGCTTCGGGACGTGGCAAAACTAATATACGCAATATAAATCAGTTATTTAGCGCTTGCAATCAATTCCATGTGCTTGATCCCAAAGTTACGATTGCATTTGATTGTCTACAATTGAAAAGTGTTTTATTCTGAAATTTAAGCATTGACATAGAAGAGAGAGAGAGAAAGCATATAAGTTGAAAAACCTTGTGGTGAAGGAAGGCTATCTTACAACGCTCGCACTGAACGTGACGTCACTACGGAATAGGCGTCGAACTTCTGTGTTCAAAATACAGAACACATAATATATTAGGTCTACCGGAAAGTTCTGTCCGTTTTCGGAATAAAACAAAATATAAATTTTTCTTACCGTCAATAAACTTTATTAAATAATATAATTGCCATTATTATTAATGATTTCTTGCTAGCGTGAGGGCACTTTGTATATCCCATTTTTGAAAAATTAAGAAAAATTTGTATTTTGTTTTATTCCAAAAACGGACAGAACTTTTCGGTAGACCTAATATTTAGGTATTGACCAAAAAAGTTGTCCATCATTGTAAGTATATACACACTTGTATACTTACATAATCTATCGAATCGGCACACCCTAATTTGTTTATTCACTTGCTTTAGACAATCGATAAAGACCGAATCACTCAAACGAAACATTTTGTAAGTCACTCGCACAAAAGAAACCAAGATTTTACACACAATCAACTGTGATCGTGTTTTTACTGGCGTGTTTCTTCTTATTCTTAGGATTAAAGAAAACAAGTTCTGTATATGTTAAATTATAGTATTACATGAATTTGTACGATTTAAACCGTGAAAAACATTTAAAACCGTTATTTCTATCATCATATATGTAGGTAGAAAAGAACAAAATAAAGTCAATTTTCCCAACACATGTTTACATCGTGACATGTAGGTATTATTCCACAGGAACGATTGTTTCGTAGTTTTCGAAGATTTCTCGAAGAGTTAAGATCGCGCGAACGATACCTTTTCGATCTTGGACTGGTAGTTTGCAATATTATTCATACGAGATTTATGTTTTACTACTTTGGATTCTATATAGAAGATGGTAAGTCTTAATTTCTTTATAGTAGTTTTTTGAAAGTTTCAGCTGTTGTGTATAAAATATTATTTCTTTCTGTGTCTCTAATTGTATGCAAATATCGGACAGTAAATATAAATCATAGATTTATTTTTTTACAAGCGTATTATACTGTTTTCGTGATAGAGAAACAACAAAGCAATTACTTTTACGCTCTATTTTTCTTTAACTACGGTAAATACTATATACAATATTCAGACACTTTCTTAAGAAGTTTTTTGTTTGATGGTATACACAGATTACAATTTAAAACCCGCAAAAACCTAACTTAAATAGTTTGCTCGATCACATTTTCTTACTTTTGTTTGTTGAAATAATATCAAATTTTGTGAAAAACGTATAATAATTAATCTTTGTACTTGTGTTCCTTACATGTTGTTTTCTTAATCGTCATTTTGTATGTCGGATTGGAACACCACATTCGTGACAAATATTGTGATGTATATGTGTGATAGAAGTACGAGATTATTGATAGAAACATACTTATTTATATCTCGCTCTTTAATTACACATTTATAAATGCTGTTTTTGTATTTGATACTGCAAAGAGTTGTTTTATAAAAAAGTTATGCGTAACTGTTTTGTTTTAATGTGTATCTGTATTTTTTGTTTAACAAGCAAAATAATTTTGTAGATACGCATTACGCAGATGCTTATATTCTTCGGAGCAATATACTTAATATCTATCCGCGGAGTTGCATCTTCCACTGATGAAAATTTCTCTCGGACATCGCAGTGTGTACAACCGATACATTATACTATTTCTTTAGAAAAACAAAACACCTCTCTTACCGTCTATTCTACTGTTGTGCTAAACGTGTCATGTGAACAAAAAGACATACGATTACAAATCGGACGTTATTGTTCTATACAAAATGTGTATGTTGATAGTGAAATTCTGTATGACTACATATCACATTGGGAAGTCACTGTATCACAGTCAAATACTACTAAAAATCGATTCAAAAGTGTGGATATTACTCCCATAAAAATAAGGAGAACCCCTAAATATGCGAAATTTATACGTAAGGAANTGCAACAACCTGTGAAATCTGGAAAATATGTGATAACTTCAAGATATAAATGTAAGTTAACGGAAGTTGTCACGATTGACCCGTACATAAGTCAAACTGAAACGAAAGAGTAAGTGTACATACAACGCTATCACATACTATCATTTTTGTACTGCTGCAATTATTATATTGTACTACAATGACATTTATAGACAACATTTATTTCTACAGAACATTATCAAACTATTATTTGATAGATATTTATAACTTTAAATATTGCAACATACAGTTTTTTAGTTTATCGCCCGGTGGGCACATGATATAATACTACTAATTTATATAATGTAGTTTAAATTTACTAATTTTCTTTGAAGATTTACTATAAATTAATATTATGGTACATGTAAAAACTAGATAGTTATACGAAAAGCGTCTTATTTTGCTAAATTGTGTTCCATTAACTTTACATTTGTTCTTTTTAAATATAATTGAGAAGATGTTACTACTAAGGTAGTACTTTATGTAATGGAATATGCTTATCTACTATATTTATGTATCACTGTAATATTTTATGTTTATTATATAGATTTCTGATTTTATCGCGTATTCCAAATGAATGGATTTTTCCATATTGGGAACATCCAGCAACCAAGGCTAGATTTATCATTCAAATTATACACAAACGCAGTGAAACAGTTTTTTCGAACATGCCTATTGAATATTCTAGTTCGATAATAAATGCGATTCATACAACATTTTTCATCACACCTCTAATATCCACGCAGTTGGTTGCATTTGTTGTTATACCGAATGTATATAATACAACTATGGGAAAAGAGAATAACGTTACCATTACAAGCACCTTAAAGATGAGAACTGATACATACTATGCACGAACTCTTCTTCTTGATATCTTTACACTTCTCAGAAACATGTTGGACGATGTCATACGATTACATGTTTCTTACGTTCTACTTCCAATAACCTCTACTCGTTACGAAAGTATGATAACTCCTGGATTTGTTTTTTTGAGGTGAGATGCATACTTCACAATACAAAAAAGTGAACTTATAAAAAACATTGTTAAAGTACGAGAAGGCTGTACTTGCAGTAACATTTTTATTTTTATTTTCAGTGAAGTTAACAGTATATATAACAGCGAAGTAGATTCAATTATTAAACAAAGAGAAGTAACATGTTTTGTAGCACGTAGTGTGATACAAGAAATATTCAGTGAGTGGGTAGCTACATTTAAACAGTCGGATTCTTGGTTTATCGAAGGATTTTTAACCGTATATGGAGTTTATATTTGAGACAAGGTTATTATAGTGCATATATATTTTGATTGTAGATCGTTGTGCATAAATAGAAATGTCATATGTAAAAACAAGTATAATATTTTCTGGTTAATTAAAAAAGTGTTATATTCTTAGACATATTTTGAAACAGTTTCAGTAACTGTGATACTATTTATAATTGTGTAAATTATATTAAATAGATACGCAGTATAATATATTAGAAAAGCATAGAAACATATGATTATGTGTACGAAATAATCTACATATATATTTTCTTGATTATTGTGTTATTACTAATTTATCGTATTCGTTTTATCTTTTTATTGAAAAATGTCATCAAGATTTATATGACTAAAACTTTAAATTATACTATTATATTAGATTTATACACTATACTTATATAATCGTATTATCATTAAACTTGTTGATAGTTTTTAATAACATCAATTGCGGTCCAGACACGACGAAGCTTTTTAGATTATGCAGAAGGATTTAGTAGGTATGGTTTTGCGCTTCAAGAAAACTCTTTTACAGCTCGAATATCAACCGTTAGGAAAATGTGGCGAGAAAAAGGTAAGAAAACTAAATTTCTTAAGTACATTTTACTACCTACTTTCACGTCCACAAATTAATAGGTAAGATACTAAGAGATAGTGGTATATATCTTCAGAATATATTATAAAAAGTCAAATAGTCATTGTTATGTTCATCATATTATATTGTAGGCAAACGTTTTCTAAAATCGATATAAAAGTACATTTACACATTTCTAAGTGTGTGTAAAAAAGTAACACTATAGTATAAATTTATTCTTTACTACTATTTAGTTACTATTTTACCTTTTTTTGTGAATAAACTGTGAAAAGCTAACACTATAAATTATGTTGTAGCATTCAGCACCTTTTATATGCTTAGTACCTTACTTGAACGAGATTTCTTGTATATTTCGTTGTTTGAAAACGTCGTAAACTTATATTATAACACGTAAGTATTTACAAATCATTGAAGTATAGAGTAATTCGTTCTTTTTTAATTAATCTTTTTTCAAAGTAGTTGAAAGTTATCACTACAATTATTAAATATATATATTGTTTTCGGAGTATTATGGCAAGCATTAACACAATATTTTTTTTTACGATATTTGTGGTCAGTAAGGAGGTATCAGATAACATATATAAGGACTTGTCAATTCTTGATAAGTTATGGCATTGGAATTTTGAGGTATCCTTAAATAAGACTATATACCTTTCGACAGAAATAATAAAAACAATATTAACTTCATGGACAGCAGAAGTTGGTTATCCTGTGTTACAAGTTAAACGACTCAATGATACACAGATTGCAATATCTGTCATAGACTGTTTTACTGTTAATTACAAAGAACAGTGCGAACTAAATTGGTGGATACCTGTGACTGTTAAAAAAATACTAAATACAGAAATTACTGTCACGTATAGTGATATCCTAACACCATACAAAAAACATATTTATTTTTCGCTTCTTAATAAAACTGAGTTTCTCATTGTCGCGGACTCCGCTGGTAATGTACTAACATACATATGAATTTTCAAGTTTCTTTTTATTGTACATGTAGTTTATAAAAACGTTTATTAGTTTTGTAGAGTAATTGTTTCTCGTACTTTGTTTTTTACTATCAGGTTTTCTAAACCTTTATTTGTTGTAGGATATCGCGTCACATATGACCGTGAATCTTGGACGCACATTGCTTTTTTCTTAAAAACTGTTGATCTGAAGAACACTGATTTATCTGATGTCACTGTAGCACAAATATTAGACGATGCGTTTTATTTTTTGGTGCAAAATACAGAATATAATGACAATTCTACTTCAGATAAAAATGATCTAAACATATATCTTGAAATTGCAAACAGTACATTTCTTGTACACAATTCTTATATAATGTGGTATCCTGTATTTTTTGCTCTTGAACATATGTCGAAGATTTTTCCGTTTCCAGAAAGGAAACTTTCCAGAAATATCAAGGTATCTAAGATTACAGTACACTAAGAAATTAAATACTTGGTATGTTATCATTAACACGTTCCGTGCAGGTCCGATTTTCGATGACTTTTCTTTCACGCCGCGTGAGTTGTATGCGCCCCACGCTTTCGAGATTACCAATTTTGTTTATGACATGTGTTTCATACTATTTCTAAGATTGCAAAAATCATTATTATCAAGAAAAAAGTAGGTGAATTCCCACGATGCGATGACTATATTGTATATAATATTTAGGCATCAATATGATTTTGTATTTTATGATAATGTCACACTCAATAGCGAAAATAGCATATGGCCTAAACGGAAAGTATAGAGTGGGGCGTTACGACCCACCCGGCATGGAAGGTGGTAATCAGATGTTAAAAAGTTTATTACCTTATTTATAAGATATATATATATTACGGATTGTTTATATAAATAATTCGCATTAATGCTACTTTAGTCGATAACATAAACAATATATATTTTAGAGTAATTATACTTAAATAATATGTAGTAGAATATACTTACATAATAAAATATAACTTGCATGTTGTACTATGTATTAGACTGAACATACAACATTGTTAACATACAAAACTGACTTCAGACAAGCGCATTCGTATAGTTAAAAAAAAAACATACTATATATATAAGAGCTCACCAATATTCACACTTCATAAAAAAGTATTTCACATAAGTAAAATAATATCAATATAGTACAGAAATATGCACGTAATCACAGAATTATTAATTTAATATCATTGTCAACGTTAGTTCTCGTAAATCACACATCTGATAAAATGCATGAATAAATGGAAATCTCGTTTAATGAACGACAAAATCTTCATTTTTAGTATACGGTACTTTTAAGTAGAAGCATGTCTAATCAAAAGACCATTGCATAAAACTGCAAAATAAAAAAAAATCAGTAAAGATTTCCAAGAAGTGATTCTTTACTTAAAACTTGCACATTGTAATTTGTCAAAATATTGCAGAAAAATTAAACCTAAAGATTTACAAGTTTCTTCAAATAATAGAATATTGCTAACATTTGGTGCAATTTATATTCTTAGTGCTCAATGTATTTTTTGTCCATAAATAACCTACCTACACAGAAAGCTCTGTAATTGTTTGAAGTACAACTGTATGTTTATACATGTATATAAAAATGTATTGTTTACACGAAATTAGATTATTTGTAGTTTTGACAGAGAATATGATACAGTTCAGAGAATAAGATACGTGTGCTATGTAAAACAACAAATAGTAGTTTATCTTTGTGGGTAAAAAGATGTTTTTTAAAAAAAGTATAAGCCATAGATAGAAGTAGAAAATAAAAGAATGAATAATTCTGTAATCGTTACAAACATACATATAATATAATTTAGAAAAAATTAAACACGGATGTTATATAATAATATGTGTGTCAAAAATAGTATAATATAAAATTTCTTAAATATGAAAGAATAAGTAAAACAAAACTATCGTTAAATAATTAGATATTAAGAAACCTTAGGCATTTACACAAGATATGTTACTAAAAAACATATCTTGTTTTTATAGGATAAACTTCTGGCAATATTGAATAGGTTTCTTGATGATAAATCATATACACGTTGGTGTGAGAATAGTGCCAGTAATCAATTCTATCATGAAGTTTTAAAATGGACATGCATTCTCGGTGGTTCAATGTGTAAAGAACATGTTAATCAAATGTTAGAGTGGCATTTTAATAAACCTGCGCAAAACAGGTACGTTATTTTACTTTCTTAATGGTAAGTTGACGTCCGTACACAGTTTGTCCGGAAAGTTCCCGGACTGATT